CTCAGTCAGCTATATCTTCTTTCTCTACCATTCCCCTTCCACTCAAGACTGTTGTGTGCTAGATAGCATTGCCAATAATATAGACAAAACCATTTCCCTACTCCTGTTTGCAAACATATTCATACCAGGTGACTTGAACAATGTCACTGACCCTGCTTGCATCCAAACCCTTAACTTCTCAATCACTGAGTCTCTCATGCAAATCGTTGATTTTTCCATGTGTTTCCCTAGTAACCCTGACAGACATGCTTCTCTTCTCGATCTCTTTTTTACCTCTATCCCTGACTCTTGTCATACTATACAGATCTGCCCTTTTGGCAACTCTGATCATGCTGTTATGTCTGTAAACATCTCCTTCTGCTCCAGCCGAGAACCTCCTACCAACAGAATATATTTTTGTTATTAACAAACAGATTGAGATATGTTCTGGGATTTCCTTTGTGATGTCCCTTGCAATGAAGTTTTCAATCATCCTGTTCAAAAATGAGCATCTGAGGTTTCCTCCTGGGTAAAAGATGGCATCGATGCTTTCATTTCAGCAAGGAAATACCACATTCATCTCCTTGGTTTACACCTGTATGCTTGGCCACTACAGCCCACAGGAATCACTTCTTCCAGCTGTACCAAAGAGACACATCTGATTACAACAGGCATCTCTTTGTCTCTGCTCATAGGAAATACAAGTGTGTCCTCAATGAAGTTACTGTTTGCTGATAGAATGAAACAACATACAAATATATTGCATAAAAGTAATATAATATTTTAATTCCTAATTATTATTTCTTTTATTTCATTTATTCTATATATTGCGATTATTATATTTATCGGTATCTATGTATGTGTTTATTATTATTATTTCTTTTATCCTTTTCCACAGTTACCATATTTTTCTCTATTTGTTTGTTTTTCTACAACTAACCCGAGGATCATTTATCTTATTTTTATTTTCTATTTATCTTTACCTAAAGTTATATGTATTAATTTTACATTTTGTACTCTCTTTTATTTTTACCAATTGATAGTTTAGGTGTCAGCACTGTCAAAAAGGCAGTATAAATTATTTTTATTATATGTTATAAATAATGACTTGATAATCTCTGAGTATTTTAGGCTTAAATCCCAATTTATACTTTTCTTTTTCTATTTGCTATCTTTTTTTGCACAAACTTTTTGCTATTTGTGTTTATTTATGTATGACTCTTTTGTAATTTGTCCTGCTTTCTAGATTTATTTGGTTATCTAATGTTACAAATATACATTTTTTTCTGGGGCGGTTCTAAAACACATAATGTATGTAATGTCTATATATCTACATTACATATGTTCCAAAGGTTATCATAGACAAGTGTGCTAGCAGGAACAAGCTTCCACTGTCTATAAAATGCTCCCATGGAATGCATCTAAAATAGCCTCTAACAATGAAGTCCAGATCCACGCCAAAGAAGGGGTAGAGACAGACGATTGATGCCTCATAACCAGCTGCTTCAGATAGATAGATCCCTGCAAAATAGTTCATATCAGAGAAGAAAAATCCTGATTTTAAACCTCTACTGCCATATCCTAATACAGAAAAGCTATAATCGACTGAAAGAGGGAACATGTGGTGTGTGCAGCAAACAACTTCCATATACCATCACTGGGGCATGCATTCTGGTGACGTTATGACAGTCTCACCACCAAGTGAGAGAACAACACAGGAGACAGCATTTCATGGGTTATAAGTCCAGTCTAAACTGGCAGAGAGTCAGGCACCATGGGTTTCTTTCAACAGTGGTAGTGATCATTGTAATCTATAGATCACATTTGATTTGTTAAAGTCCCATGAGAGGAAATGTGTAGGCTAAGATAAGTCTCCCTATTGTGTTTATATATATATATATATATATATATATATATATATATATATATAAGAAAAATATAGTCTTAAGGTGTGCTATATTTATGGAATAAAGTGCTCAATATCAGAGATAGAGCATGTGTAAATATAAAAGTGAACATAGAAGTCAACACTTAGAGGCTCTAAGTGTTGACTTCTATGCAATCTTCAAGCCATGTCGCATTTAAGATTGAAACGAACTGTCGCCTATGGATAGTGACCTCAATGTCTACTTTTAAATAAATAAATATATATATATATATATATATATATGAATGAATGAATAAAAAACAAAGGTAAAACTTTTCTTCATTAATGTGTTTTGCACCCCGCTCCAGAACTGCACCCCCGACCAGCTCTTTATCAAGGTAAATGAAAGGAGATGAAATTCATTGATAAAGAAAAATTTTCCTTTTATCTTTTATGTACATTGTCTTTAGACATATATTTTATTTATATCTGAATTTTTACATACACAGACACACACACACATATGTGTGTGTGTATTAGGAGTGTTACACATCTGATTTCTGGGAACAGAAAAAGAAAACCAATACTTTCCGCCCACTACTGAATTGAGTAAACTCTTATGTGTTTTTTTTTTTAAATAATGAGGACAACACAGAATTTAAAACCTTTGTCAACATATCAGAGGCCAGCACTGCAGGGTTAGGCTCATTACACTCCACATCTGTCAAATTGGGAAGACCTGATTTCTGTAATGGACTGAAAAACAGAGTCTCTCTCTCATATATATATATATATATATATATATATATATATATATATATATATATACTTTATTTTTTTGTAGCATTGTAAAAGATTCTGAGTGATTTTGTGATAAGACAGATTTTCAGTAGATTTAGATATAAACTTAGATACATACTTATTACCATAAACCTTATTTTTAGTGGGACCTGTGTTTACATTGATATCGTCCTTAAACAGTGAAATTAATAACAACTGGCCTAAATTAATAAGTCCTACTAAAGAAAAATTGTGCCTCCATCAGGAATCAAATCTATATCTGTTTTTTCTGCCAGAAAAACTAATTTTTTACCCAAAGCGTGCTGCTACCAGTTCAGCCATGGAAATCAGCTTGACAGAGCAAACTGTGAATTACACAATTTAGAGGAGCACATCTCCCGTCAAGATTACCACAAATCTTTGATCTGTTAGCTTCAGTTTCATACCTGAAACATACACGACAGTAATCTTTGAAGGGATCTTTTATCCAACATTATTTCTATAAATATTATCTTCGAGTTGCTCTCACTGTTTTGTTTTTATTCTTTAAACAGTGAAATAAATAACCAGAGCAGATTGAGAAGTCTTACTAAAAAAAAAAAGTGTGCCTCTGACAGTAATTGAACCTAAAGTATGCTGCATGTATCCACTAAAAATGTTTATAGTACAAAGTAGCCAAAAAAGTCTTTGTACTTTTGACTAAGTAGAAAAAAAAGGTATAGAGTGAATTTGACATCCTGTTAGTTCTCAAAGTAATTTGAATTGGCATCCATAACCTTTTGGCAATGTGCTTCCAGTTGCACAATGCCCTGACAGTAAAAATCGGGTGTCTTGGAAGCAAAGAAGTCTGTGAGTGCCTGCCACAAGTCTGCATCAATTATGAAGGATTTCCCCTGAAGGTGGTTTTCCAGGGAATGGAAGAGGTGGTAATTTGTTGGCAAAAGGTCTGGGGAGTAAGTGGGATGGCACAGTGTCTTCCAGCCAAGTTGCTGCGTGGCATCCCCAGCCACTTGTGCCACATGAGGCCTGACATTGTCATATAGGAACAGTACACCCTTGCAATTAACTAATGTGGTGCAGGTGAAGTCTGACCATTTCACCAGAATCCTGTAAGGGTTCAGTAAGCTCGCCACAGGTTTGGCTGTTGCCCTTCTCTATGTCAACCATCAAGTCATCATCATCCAGGAGCTGTCACAAAGGGACAGATCTTCCAACCTGAAATTCTGGAACCAATGTCTGGTCACAGCATTATCCACAAAGACTTGATGTATTCAGTGAATTGATGCAACTACTTTAAGAAAGTCATAAAAAAAGAGACAACACCGAAAGAGGTGCTTTAACACCACCATGTTTCCTTGTCACAGCTTAAACTGTAACTGATGTGTGCACACAACACCCCTGCATTGATCTAGTGCAATGTCTCCACCTTCACAGATTTCCTGGTACATGACGTAATGTAAAAAATGGCAAGCACTTTTTTTTGTTACCTTATAAGAAATACAAATATACATATATTTTTATTGATATCATCATGTGTAAGTGATGTCTACAGTGACACTACCTGACAAACACACATACCATGTTTTTTTTCAAATAAGTGCTGCCCCAACCATGAAAAAAAAGGAAAATTCAAATAAGCACCCTTCACCTCATCAGATAAACACCACTCTCCCATCAAAGTGAAAATTTGTGATTTTAATATCTTTTCACAGGTTCATTAAATTTTATTTTTTATTTCAAAGAATGGTTGCGTCATCGGGTTTTGGGCACAACATTTTGTTTTATTGTCCCATTTTCAGTCTGTGTGTGTAACCATTATGAGCATCTACTGCAAGATATTTTTAAGAATTATAATATATCTTGAAGAGTTCATGCATGGTGGTGAAAAATTGTCGGCTCCTTTTGTTTAAAAATGGATCATTTTCATTTTATAATATATAAAGGACAAACAGAATCATTGCAAGTTATAAAACATGAGTGCCCCAATTGCTTCATATGTGAATGATTTTTCAATAAGAGGCCCTATCACATGAGGACCTTTCCAAGCAGTCCAATATTTAAATAAGTACCCTGGGTGCTTGTTCAAGGAAATAACATATTTATGTAAAGATAAGAAAAGAAGCAAGAGGAATTATAATTTTAGGATTGATTGACTTGCTTTTTACGGCTTATAAGAATTTTCAGTGGATAATAATGATTTACTGATACAAGCCCTACTAATTAACTCATAGCTGGAGGGAGGAAAGGTGGATTCATACCTTTGCCAAGGATATTTGCATGTAAGTGAATATAACAAATCCAACTAGAATTGGAAATTGGCTCTCTAATTTCCAGTTCCAAATCCATTATCCATTACACTACCCATGCATCCAAGCTTACAGCATGTGGTATTCCCAAGTGGTCACCCATCTAGGTACTGACCAGGCACAACACTGCTTAACTTTGATGATCATAGGAGAAGTAATGTTTCAATGTGATATGGTCATAAGCCTTATAATCGCAGCTCTCAGGAGATGACAGAGCTGATCTAATGGCCAAAAAGTCGAATGATGAAGAAGCCAACTGGGTTGATCCCTCAGTCTGGCCAATCCATCAGCCCGATAATACAAGCCTCAAGATTAGCTGGCTGGTCTTTGTACCAGCCAATCAGATTGCTTCTCACATTTCTTGCATATGTGGGCCTTTCAATGGTGGTTTCTATTATTGTTTCTATGACATGTTCTGTGATTTTACATTGATTTTTTTTGTGTTCCAAGTGAGGGCTTGTGAAAAAGGGCTCCGTCTTCTTGGCACAGAAACTCTAAATGAAGCTCTATCTTCAAAGAGTTAAGAAATCATTTTAATTAAGATAAAGTTATTCACAGGAGGACCAGTGTTTGTTAAAAGAGCCATTTTGTTAACAATGTCTAGCTTCAAATAAATACTCAGCCAATCATTTACTGTTAGCATTTAATTGATGCCACTTCCTGACATCATCAGCTTTTTTAAAGCCAACATAACAAAAAGTAGTGATACAAATATGGATACAATTACTGCACCAAGAGAGCCCAATGACAGGTGCTTGGACCTAAATTTGATAAACTGGTTTAAGTAAACAAAACTAATTCAAACATCAGGAAGAGGACAGATAAGAGAAATACAATACAGCATTGTACTGGAACTGGAGTTGAAGTTGGAGTTGTGTGCTGAACTGTTTTAAAGTAAGTCATGAAACCTACTTCCCTGACCTGGTTTACTTTGGCTGATAAGGAGCAAAGGAGTAGCATTTTGTCATTATTTTTTAATCATTTCACCCCAAGCAAGGTTGGAATGCCACTAGTACTCAGGGGTTTACAGAGAGTGAAAGTGAGAAAAAAACAAACAAACTGGGGACGGGGGGGGGGAATGAGAAAAGGATAAAAGATGAAAGGGAATCAAAAAGATAGAATATGGCGATTGATGTTGCATTTAAATTTTTGAAGTTTGTAGTTATCAGGAAAGTAAGTGGAAAGGAGTTCCACAGGCAGAAAGTACGAGAAAAGAAACTGTTGGAGTAGAAGTGGTGTTTTTCATCACTCCCCTCCAGCTTAACAAAAGAAATGATCACTCAATTTTTTTTTTATTTACAAAAGTTTCAAAGTACTATTATGAATCTACTAGTTTACCAAGGCTGTCAGCAGCATATTGGATTCATTCTTTACCATTATGAAAAGGTTTCTGCATGTTCTTAAATATTTCCCCCCACCCCAATTAAGACTGTTGTGCAAGGGAGATAACTCTAAAAAAGCAAAACGATAAAGACATTAAAGGCAAAATAGATGTAAATATATTTGGTGCTGTTGGCTCCAATCTATTGGGAATGACTGCTAAAAACATCCCCTCCCAAAATTTATAGACAGATCCTACAGATGCATGCTGGGATTTCTTCCTAATGAACCAAAATGGACAAATTCTTTTTCTTATTCATCTACACCTTCTCCTAAGGAAGGTTACTAACAGCTTACCCTCTTGCCTTCAGTATATGCTGTGAGTGTTAAATTTTCCAAACCTTCCTTTTTCAGTATCAGTGTTCTCATTGTTTTTATTTTCCCTAAAACTTCCTCATGGCTTACATGCTCCATCCATGGCAGAATATAACAATCTTAACTGAAAAAAAATAATTATTTAAAAACTCACTTGTGAATACCTAATAATAGTAACAACAACAAATACACTGTTATATTTGACAGCATGTTTAAACTGGTATTAAAATAAGATTTTATTGGATCTAAATTGGGGGATCAGTTGCCAGATGTTATTAAATAATAAAATAATCTTCCCACCACCACCCAAAAAATTACTACATAGTAATAACTGGAAAAATATATTCAGAACCACACCTGAAAAATGTTCTAATAATAGTAACAACTTAACAAAACATGTTATCATTTTTGACAACATGGGTAAACTAGTATTTTTTTTTATAATTTCATCCCAAGCAAGGCAATAAAGCCACTAAGATGCAAGGAGTTACTGAGTGTGAAAAATTATGAGTAAAAAAAAGATTAAGGAGAGTGAACAATAAAAGGACAAAAATTAATAAGACAGTAGGTAACAATTGACATTGCATTTAAATTTTTAATTATCAAAGTTGACTGGAAAGCAAGCAGATGGAAGAGAGTTCCACAAGTGAGAAGTGCAAGAGAAGAAACTGTTAGCATAGAACTTACAATTACATGTAGATATTTCAACTGTAAAATGATGTATTAATATAAAATTTCATTGAACCTAAATTGGGGGATTGGCTGTTGGTTGTTATTAAGTAATAAACTGATCTCCTCCAAATTATTACATATTAATATAATAATTGGAAAAATATATTGAGAACTACATGTGAAAAACATTCTAATAATATTAACAACTTAACAAAATATGCCATCATTTTTGATAACACAGGTAAACTAGTATTATGAAAAGTAAACAAAGAATGCACATTTTAACCCTAGATTCATAAATGAATATATAAGCATATATATATATATATATATATATATATATATATATATAATCATTTCACCCCAAGCAAGGCAATAAAGCCACTAAGACACAAGAGGTTACTGAGTGTTAAAGGATATGAAAAAAAAAACACTAATAAGGAGATTATATATATATATATATATATATATATATATATATAATCTCCTTAATAGTGTTTATATATATATATATATATATATATATATATATATATATATATATATATATATATAATTGTGTATTTGGGTAGCAAACCATCTATACAGGTTTCAGTGGAGATGACAGTCAAGGCATTGTGATTAAGCTTTTTATGATATTTTTTTACATGTATTGTTTTGCATAGGTACAAAAAAGAAATCTTTCATATGCATGCTAGAAAAATTTAATAAAAAGCTTAACCACAGTACCTTGCTCATCATCTTCAATGAAACCTGTATAAAAGAGGGACTACTGCCCAAATACACACATCTTTCTCTCTTTCTCTCTCTGTATGTATATATATATATATATATAATGAAATATAGTTTTTTTAAGTTATGCTATATTTATGAGATAAATTGCTCAATATCAGAGATAGAGCATATGTAAATATGAAAGTGGACATTGATGTCTACACAGATGAGTGTTGACTTCAATATCCACTTATATATATATATATATATATATATATATATATATATATATATATATATATATATATATGTTTTCTGTACATGTATGCAGTTCTTTCCTTTTTTGACCTTTCCAACAATCATGCAAACTTCTTTTGTTATAGAAAAACCAGATAAGTCTAGCATTGTCGATTGATTACAAAGCATTTGCCGTTATTAATTAACCAAAATCTATAAGCTTTTGTAAGTGTGTGGTACTAAAAGCAACAAATGATATGACAAATTTTGACAACCAATTAACACAGTCAATGATTTCCTGGTTTAAGACAGGATCGTGTTCTCTAAATACTTTTTGACCTCCACCCAATGCAATAAAGACATAATCTTTGCAAGTTATTTTGATTTTATGTTACACAATAAATATTCACACAAGTGGATTATGCCCCAAAGTCTGTAGTCTGAAGTTATAAAAAAAGAAGAAAAAACAAAAAGCAAAGACTGTGAGCATTTGAAAACAAAACCAGTTGTGTTCACAGATTCTGTGTACGTGAAGATAAACATCATTGAAATGAAAGTTGTTACAAACTAGCTTTAATGCTTTCATGATAAAAATTTGAAAATTATATTTTTAAAATATTCATATTTATGAAAGTTAAACAAAGTATTAAGAAACAAGAAAAATTTCATTTGGATCAAGGAAAAATGTGATGAACTGCTATCAGTGGTTCTCAACCTTTTTTGCCCAGTACAGAATGTTATTTGCCTGACACAAGAGGTGCATTCCAAATAATATGCATATATTACTGAAAATCTTCATTCTTTTCCATATTAGTACATATACATTTACATGGATTACTTTTATAGAACTGTTTTACAAATTTAATAGCATAGAAAATGCTGATTGACTTTTAAGCTTGAATACATATGCAGTAATTTATTTTAATTCATAACTAATTATTGAATAAATAAATTGAAGCATACTTCAGGGTATTTGAATCCAATAAAAAAATTCTGTAAATAAAAACACAAGAAAAAGTAAAAGATTTAACCCTCCCTGAAATGGGATAATTCTTCCCTGGTTAAGACCCATTGTTATATACAATATCAATTCTCCTATATGGCAGTGAATACAGTTTCTTCACAGATGATTTGAGGCAACAGAGATGTGGTTCTATATAAGGACACTGAGAATACCATGGAGAGAACATATGAGCAACAAGGAAGTCTTAAGCAAAATTAAGGACACATATACTTAACATCAGAAAGAAGCAGTTGAAATTTCTATGACACATCATGAGGAAAGAGGGCTTAGAGAATTTGACACTCATGGCAGTTGAACTTTCTAGGATGCATCATGAGGAAAAAGGGCTCAAAGAATTTGATATGCACATCAGTTGAAATTTCTGGGACACATCATGAGGAAAAAGGGCTTAGAGAATTTGATATGCACATCAGTTGAAATTTCTAGGATACATCATGAAGAAAGAGAACTTGGATAATTTGACACTCACAGGGCATATTTGAAGGCAAGAGAAGCTGGAGAAAAACAGCAAGTGACCTACCGAACAAACTTGATGACAGAACAAAGACTGAGAAGGATAGTAAAAAGACAAACATTACTTAGAGTTACAAAGGATAGGAAGTTGTGATAAGCTATGATCGCTCATTTCCTGAAGGGGTATGGTACATAAAAGAACAATTATGAGAAAGGTTTGGACAAATCACCAAATTAATGCTGCCATCAAAGTTAAAATATTACTTGCTTGTAAAACTGGCTAAATGTACTGATATTGAAAGAAGCACAACACTCAGAACTTGATGATTGTTTATTCGGCATATTAATATAAAGCTTCTTGTTATTAGGTGACCCATGGAGATATT